TGATCGGTCACTATACTCACGTGATCGGTCACTATACTCACGTGATTGGTCATTATAATCACGTGATCGGTCACTATACTCACGTGATCGGTCACTATACTCACGTGATCGGTCACTATACTCACGTGATCGGTCACTATACTCACGTGATCGGTCATTATAAACACTTGATCGGTCACTATACTCACGTGATCGGTCACTATACTCACGTGATCGGTCACTATACTCACGTGATCGGTCACTATACTCACGTGATCGGTCACTATTATACTCACGTGATCGGTCACTATACTCACGTGATCGGTCACTATACTCACGTGATAGGTCACTATACTCACGTGATCGGTCACTATACTCACGTGATCGGTCACTGTACTCACGTGATCGGTCACTATACTCACGTGATCGGTCACTGTACTCACGTGATTGGTCATTATACCAGGAAATTCAAATATCACTAGTATCAGGCCTCACAGGCTGTCAAGCTGGGTTATTATAAAACAAATTTGATAAAAGCTAGAAAGTCTTTCAATGGCACACTCGATCAATGACATGTGATAGTGTTCAGAGTACGTGTTATACGGCACTAGTGTACGTGTTATACGGTACTCTGTCCCCGACCTTCCTCGCGGTAACACGACACCTGCACCTGAGTTAATGTGAGAAGTTACAGATAATGTGTGGGTATTTGGGCAAAATCTCATAGATTAATGAAGGGGAAGAGGGGAACCAGTTTGTAACATAATATGGTTAAAACATGATAATGTAACATTCTGGAGTATTCTAGAGTCTGGGAATATTTGATAATTTATATGTCCATGAAGAAGTGGTGAAGTGGGAGATAAGGAAACACCACATGTTACTTTTAATAGAACATGGTATTATATGCGGCAGGTTACACTTGATACTGCTCTAGTAAAGGAACACCAGGTTACACTTGATACTGCTCTGGTAAGAAACACCTGCTCCCTCTACATCTGATGTAAATGCAATGAGATTATCTCGTTTCTCTTCCTTCACCCAGTGTGTCGCTCTTTATCCGCAATTAAAAATTCACGCTTCATATCTTCTTTTTTATTTGAAATAGAGAAAGTCTCATAAATATTGGATATTCACCAACTGTTTCTAAATTTGACCACATGATAAATACCACAATGATAAATACCACAATGTTGATTGTTGAAGTAGACCTTACCACCTGTGGTAAGGTGATATCCACCCAAACTCAACATGAAGTAACATTGTGTTTTTAATGTTATTACCTATTACATTTCCACATGCTTAGTTACCAAACAGCTGGAGAGTAACAACTGGTAGTTTGTAAGTTTGCGGAGTAAATAACATTTTCAACGAGCATGGATATTACATACAGTTATATAGGACTTATAGCCATAGGTGATACAGGTGATATAGGTAATAGTAAGGGAGGTGTATCTAAAATCGTAATGTACAATTTTTGTTACTTTTATTGATAAGACACCTGAAAAACCAGGTACTCCACTCTTCAGGGAACTTTAGGGGCTCACTCCACCGCCAAATTTTGACATCAATTAGACCTCTACCTACCAAAGGAACCTGAACTTCTCAAAATATTCAATATTTTTAATAACCACAATTATCACCTTCTTAGTGTAGACAGTAACCCAATATCACCAAAACAATAACATATGGTGTCCATTATGGTTCATAGTATGAAAGAGACAGATGTAATGTTAACCGCATTAACCGCATTAGTTTACTTTTAGTGTACACTTTAGTGTACACTTTACAATTTCCCATTTTTAGCTAGCAGAATGGTTTTTATAGGGCATTAATGAAATGTACTATGAGCTGGTCCCAAGTCCAGACGCCATTTTATTCTTTGTAATTTTCAATAACCCTCAGGTCTAGTCATTGACTACTGATTTACAACATATCAGGTGGCTGGGAGGTTAGAGGGAGTATGGTTCATAAATTTGTGACCTTCTCTTACTCTTAAGGGGGGGGGGGGGGGGGGGGGGGTTCACCCTGATTTTTTTGTGAAACTTGGTTTCGAGATAGCAGTTGACCAACAAACTAGGACCGGTGACCGAACTTTTGAGGGGGTCCCCGACCCCAACCGCCAAACGGTGCCCGCGGGGCAGCCACGCCCATATTTGGTTCAAATTAGGCCCAATTTAGCCAAATACCCTGGACATGCCCAAAACCCAGATTTTATGTGCTTTTCTTGTAGCTAGTGGTCCCCTGAACAGGTATATGAATTTTCATCAAGATTGGGCAAAAAATGACTGAGTTATGAGCCAAAAACCATATGACCATATTTGGGCATACGCACCAAATTTGATCGATTTTGGCCCATAAATTGGTCAAATATCAATATTTTTGAATGAAACCAACTTTATATGAAAGGTAAGCTTATACTACACATTCTCTATGATTATCAGCTCAGTATCTAACTAACTGTGGATTTCAAATAATCACAAAAAATGAAAACAAAATCGTCCATATCTCAGTTCGCGATATTTGCAAAACTGATTTCGCTCAAAACAATAGAACTCAATAGGGTTTCAATATTTTTACATGAAATTTTCAGAATCAACGTAGAATCGCATTTCGACCTTATCTCTTGTATTGAAATTTTGAGTTAGGCCTTTAAAAAAAATTGGCGGCCAAATTCCAAAATTTGCCAGGCATTTTTCAGAATTTGGCCGCCAAAGATTATTCTCAATTTTCTTGTTGTGTCCACAACTATCACGTGATACGGTCGAATTATATCATGTGATACGGTTGAATTAATATATCACGTGATATGGTTGAATTAATATATCACGTGATATGGTTGAATTATATCACGTGATACGGTTGAATTATATCACGTGATACGGTTGAATTAATATATCACGTGATACGGTTGAATTAATATATCACGTGATATGGTTGAATTATATCACGTGATACGGTTGAATTATATCACGTGATACGGTTGAATTAATATATCACGTGATATGTCATATGGTGGACATTATGACTATCATATTTTATTTGCAGCACTTAAAGACCTCTTAAAGTGTCAAAATGACCAGTTTATACCAGCCAAGAAACGTGTACAAAATATAATATTTGATGAGACATATTATAAGAGTTAAATATAACTGTTGAAATGAACAGTTAACATATATAATATTAGCTGTTACCGGGAATACTCCGCCGGTTAAAGTGGTTAAAAGTGATTAAAATTTTGTGATCATTAAGTTTAAATGATTTGAACGACGAGTGTTTATGATCATAAAGTAACTGATTTGTGCGTTTCATGATAATAAAGTTAAAATAGTCACCTTTCACTTCCCGGCTGGGTTTTCTAGTTTTATTGTTCAGTCGTTGTAAAAACTACTGGCATCACGTGACTTCAGCACTTTTAATACAAGATATTAAAGATATACAGCTGAAACTTCTGGTCACTTAATGATTATAAATGTAGTAGTGATCAATGTAATCTCGCAATACCAGATAACGTCGTAGTTGGAGGTACACGGAGACGTTATTAGAGCTAATTAGGCTCCATATATTGGTGTAATTAGGGCCTAATCATTTAATAAACACTATTTAGATGTAAAGTTACACTAACCGGATGTTGTGTATTAAAGATCTTATGATCCATATTATTATGTGTAATTACGAGAGGCAAAGGGTCGGCTAAATTCCCTGCGTACGTGATCTTTTACAAAATAATGTTATAATTTACATGGCCACATTTAAACAATATGTTAAATTTAGATAGAGCGCCGCGCAATATATAACATGATAATATTATGTCACATTTATTGAATTCTCCTCCGCTGGTACCACAACTACTTAGCTGTAATAACGTAAGCTCGACAGCGAAATTACGATGTAATAAAGCTAGAAATAGATCGGTCATCATATCGTGGACTTGATATACTTATGTACCTGAACCCCAACACTCTTAAACGTCTATTGACAATTCTTTTAGTCGGAAGTATGTGACTAATTGTTATTTGTCGTACAGTAGAGGGGGGCTTACTGAATGTGTTGGCAACCAGCCAGCTGCTGAGTCTGCTGGCGAGGTGCCAGCTGGTGCCCTTTAAACGTTGATAATATGGTTATCAAGTACTACTAATTAGATATGTACACTATAAGTATACTAAATTATACACACATTTTTACACCCTCTCATCGCATTCTAGAGTTTAAGTACATGCGTATTACCAGTATTATATAAGGGGCTCTGTCTTCAAATTGGTCAATTACCGCGCACGTGGATCATTGTAATACACCACGTGATAGCTTGATACAAAGTATGCGAAGAGATCAGACTAACAAAGCTGTGTGGGATGTACTAAGTGTACCCTTGACAATAGATAATTGGTGTTTAGTGTTTACACTAGTTACTACCCCCTGTGATTTACAAAAGAAAATGTTATAGTAATCGTTACTTGGTACGAGTCTAGTACCAGGAGAAATATTAACTCTGGTTGTAGTCAATAGTCCTTAGATTCTTTAATTTATTTCCAATTATTTTCTCTAATAATATAGATATATATATAATAATAGTTATTAAGTTATTAGTAGGTTGGTTTATTACTTAAAGAGGAAATAAGGAAGCACAAAAGTTGGGCCGAATGCCAAGGTTGTTATAATACTTGTAGTGATATTATGTTAAAATGTAGAGAGCTCTCAAATACCTGATGACCCACCCTCAGCTGACCATAATTATAATATGCTCCTTAACATAATTTACTGAGAGTGTGGAGTGTAAAACGTAATTATAGAGTAGCAGTTTGGTGTGGATATTCGTACGTGAACTGCAGAAATAAAGGAACATAATATTAAGCGGTCCCACCGTAATTGTAAAACAAATTAATTTTTAGATCAATCCGCATATTATAATCCGCATATTATAATAATCATACGATATTAAATGAAATCAGTGTCTGTAACTCTGTAAAAATGTAATATAGCTGTAAAATTTAATTTTTTCTAATCATAATCATATTTTCCAGACGGTCAGCATCCCAGCAGAAAGCTTCGTCTACAAGGAACCAGAAGTAGAAGGTGCCGCCCCTGAATTGGAACTGATCACTCCAGTAGCCACTTCAACTCCACTAGCTGCGGAGGTGGTTGGAGAGATGGAGGGATCTCCAACCAAACAACCCGAGGTGGAGGTAACTGTTGTTCAGGTTCCTGAGGTAGCTGTAGAACCAGAGGCTCCAGTTGAAGCAATCCCTGAGCCAGTTGTGGAACCAGAGGTTGTCCTTGAGCCAGTTGTGGAACCAGAGGTTGTCCTTGAGCCAGTTGTGGAACCAGAGGTTGTCCTTGAGCCAGTTGTGGAACCAGAGGTAATCCCTGAGCCAGTTGTGGAACCTGAAGCAGTTGCTGAGGACCTCCCAGAGCCAGTTGTTGAGGAGCCAGTTGTTGAGGAAGTTGACCCGGTGGCTGAAGTTCCTGATGCCAGTCTGCTTGTTCTTTCCGAACCACCACCAACTTTTGTGGTGAGTAATTCATTATATTATATGTTTTTTACTAACATTTTTGTATATCAAATCAGTGTTTACTCATTACTGTTTAGGTATCAACTTTGTTAGTTTCGTCTGGCCAAAACACGCATACGAAGTTTTAACTTGAAAGACAAAGCTTCTAGAATGTTCCCCCGTTCTTGATAGACCAGGGTAGAGTTGGTTATTCAAAATCAATCTATCCAAGAAATCAAGAAATGGTAAATATTAAAACGCTTGTTTTAGGTAACTAAAATAACATTACCGGTTATAAGAGATTGAATCTCTAGAAAACGGTTGTTGACCGGTTACTGGCGGATTGTTAGTGGAACACAGTCCTACTCCGAAACAACTAACAAACACCATTGTGTAGTATATCTTAGTTAAAACCTGGAGGGGGATATTTAAAACATATAAGAGATACGAAAGGATTTTATTAGCAGGAGCTTTCAAAATACTTGTGTAAATCGTCTTCAGCTGTAGTTAAAACTGTCAAACTCCAATGTAAAATGGGGATTATATTGTTTAAAAGGTATCCAGAGGCTGTGACGAAGATTCGTGGGTGTGCAAACCGCTTAGCCGTCTTATTGAGACGACTAAGTTTTAAAGATGTAACGATCAAGCATCGATTTTGTCAAGCAAATTTCGCCGCGATACCTCTAGGATGCATTACATAATATATATCATATATTATTACAATATTTAAATAACATTATATTATAATTGTCTCAAAGATTAAAGTCTGAGTTCAAACTCTGTTATTTAACAACATTCCCAGCATACTGAGTCTATTTATAGATATCCACGTTTAGGTTTAATAGGTTTGAAATTTAATAGCACCGCTTTTATGATAAAACTTATACTCAGCAGTGTTTAAACTAGTCATCCCAGAAAATAACATGAATACTAAGTTAAGAAAAGTAAATTATGCTTGACAATATATCGTCAATACTAAAGCCAGAAAAAGGTACTTAAACACATTATGCAAAGATCAAACACCAGATAATATGACCAAAATAGATATGACCAAATTAAATCTTGATCATTTAGTTTTAACTCTGTTAAGTCTTACTTAATTATATTAAACACTGCTGAGTATAAGTTTATCATGATAGTAGTGTTCTTAAACTTCAATTTATTGTTATTATTATTAATGTATTGGTTATTTAACCACAACGAAGTAAAGTCTTAAATTTGAGGATCTGTTACAATTTTGAATCTCAATAAGTTAACTGCAGAACTGTGGCAATACTCTCACTACTAGTAAATTAATCTGAGGTTCATATCCAGGCTCTTATTCTGAGGTTCATATCCAGGCTCTTATCCCGAGGTTTCTATCCAGGCTCTTATTCCGAGGTTTCTATCCAGGTTCTTATTCTGAGGTTCATATCCAGGCTCTTGAGGTTCATATCCAGGCTCTTATCCCGAGGTTTCTATCCAGGCTCTTATTCCGAGGTTTCTATCCAGGTTCTTATTCTGAGGTTCATATCCAGGCTCTTATTCTGAGGTTCATATCCAGGCTCTTATTCTGAGGTTCATATCCAGGCTCTTATTCTGAGGTTCCTATCCAGGCTCTTATTCTGAGGTTTCTATCCAGGCTCTTATCCCGAGGTTCATATCCAGGCTCTTATTCTGAGGTTCATATCCAGGCTCTTATTCTGAGGTTCATATCCAGGCTCTTATTCTGAGGTTCCTATCCAGGCTCTTATTCTGAGGTTTCTATCCAGGCTCTTATTCTGAGGTTCCTATCCAGGCTCTTATTCTGAGGTTTCTATCCAGGCTCTTATTCTGAGGTTCATATCCAGGCTCTTATTCTGAGGTTCCTATCCAGGCTCTTATTTTGAGGTTCATATCCAGGCTCTTATTCTGAGGTTTCTATCCAGGCTCTTATTCTGAGGTTCATATCCAGGCTCGTATTCTGAGGTTCATATCCAGGCTCTTATTCTGAGGTTTCTATCCAGGCTCTTATTCTGAGGTTTCTATCCAGGCTCTTATTCTGAGGTTCATATCCAGGCTCTTATTCTGAGGTTCATATCCAGGCTCTTATTCTGAGGTTCATATCCATGCTCTTATCCCGAGGTTTCTATCCAGAGGTCCTGGTTTCAACAGAATTATCGATTTGACTGTTGGAGCGTGCATTTTGCAGTGTGCAAGTTGCACAGTGGTATAAGATCATATTCGGCTCACAGTTTACTGTAATTCAATTGGACTATTGGGCGGCCTATACTATTGTCTTGCTGCTGCAGTATCTCATGAAATCACGACATTTAGTAATACAAGAGCCGAAATCGAAGTATTTGAGACATTTGACGTGTCCGAGAGTATGATTTGATTATTGTATTTTTTATAAATTTTACTATTAGGAGATTTGAAAACGGGGAGAGAAAAAACTTACTAGATCATGCTCCCAAAAAACCATTTTTATCTATCAAAGTTCCACAAATACCCGCTTATAATATCCACCCTTTACTTCCACTTGCTGCATAAACTGTAAGTTAACTGAAGTTGTTTTGCAGGACGAGTCAATGTCCATCATCTCCCGATCAGAAGTTGAACATCTCAACTCTGTGCCAGGTAATGAATAATTACATAATTAGTTAATTGGTAATTAATTATTAATTCAATAAATGCATCGTATCACTTCGTTCAACATACCAGCTGCTAGTATAAATAGTCATATTCTGATATATAATACACAGTACTACTACTAGTATGTGGCTAATGAAAAGCCCAATTTTTCAATCGATTATTCATTTATGACTTATTAAATGGTTGTCTTCGTCATAATATTATGTTCAAACTGGAACACCATTTATGGCGAATTGGAACGATAATACGTAATTACCTGAAAATAGTTCTTCCTCCGACTGTCTCAATCTATTTTTGTTACATACACAATTAAAACTACTCAATTTAAATATCATTTTTATGAAGCCTCACGTGACTTTTAAACGATCTTAAACCCACAGCTGAGGAAGAAATCGCTGCACCAGAAGAACCAGAGGAGCTCCCAACCTCCGAGCCATCAGTAGAGACCATCTCATCAGAACAGACTATCTCAGTAGACACCCAGCAGACGATATCAATAGAGTCTGATATGGTTACCACCACTGAGACAGAGGTTTTGGTTGAAACTGTTAATGTTGAGTCTATGCCTGCTATGGAGACTAAAGGTTCGGTTTTTTTTCTATTGAATAATTTGATTAATTAATTTTTCTGGTTTTAGTAAACAGCACACATCAGATTTCCTGGTTGATTTCACCTCAGCCTTAGCACAAGCCTGGTTTCAATATTTAGAATTTATTTAGTCTTTTTCATCTAGTTAAATTAAAGGTCACTTTACCACATGTTCACGTATAAAGTACAGTGTAAACCATCAATATGACCTTTATATCGTGACATTGTTGTCTAAGCGGCCCCAATTCTCGTGACGAAACAAGAATCAGTTAAGTTGGTGAAGAAAAAAGAAATAATTAAACCCGGTCAAAAGAAATCCAAGTTGCAGATCAATACTACTTCTACGACGACGACGACGAAGGAATGGATGACGAGCTGGATGCTGCTCTCGCCAAAATACAGGACGCTCTAGACATGACAACCGACCTGAAAAACGATTTGGAAATGACAGCCAATCACAATCAAGTAACGAGTTCGGAGAGTCACGTGACAACGAGTCTCACGGAGACGAGGAGTGTGATTGTTACGGAGGAATATGTTTCACAGAGGTCCAGTGTCAGACAAGTTCAGGGTACGGATATGGCCTGTGTCACGTGACATTCCCTTATATGGAGTGCCACGTGTCTTGCACACACCACGTGACATGCCCTTATATGGAGTGCCACGTGTCTTGCACACACCACGTGACATGTCCTTATTATATGGAGTGCCACGTGTCTTGCACACACCGCTTGGTATTCCAGATATTCTACCTTTAAACGCCTGCATGAGCTATTGGTGTCTAGCACATGGAGCGGCAATGATCACAATATCTCTGATCCAATCTCATATATATTATGTGATTGAGGACAACTTCAATTTTTCACCTGTCTCCCTATTTAAAAGAGACAAGTTGAGACTATTTGATGTTATTCAGATCCTGTGGTCTTTGTTCGCTCATGTCTTCAAACCTATATTCTCTGATCTGCATGATTTTTCTCTTGCAAAATTATTTTCTTTCGCAAATCTTTGTCTTGTTAGCGCCGAAAGCTCATGTAGTTTCATTGACATATTATGTAATGTTATGGTTCCGTAGGTTTTTGCTTGGGGATACAATTGGACACCAATAAGTTATAATATTAAGTTATAATGCATTTTAAATGAATTATAATAAGTTGAAATTTAATACAATAACCCAGCTGGAATACAATTCAATCAGCTTTAGTTGCTTTAACTTTTGTGGCAAAATTAAGTTATAATCAATCATGTTTTTTAATAGATCACTCATCATGTATAGCTATGATATCACCGATATGATGAATACAAATACAGTCACCAACACATTTAACGCAACAAAGATGTCCCATCTATACTATGTAGCTATGTATATTGTATTTTCGACTTCAATCTAATGTCAATTATTCATTCTAAACCTTTAAATAACCTTTATCATTTTTAACTAATTATATAGGCTCCGCAGGTGAATCGGCCGTTGTTTTCCTATACATTATCTGTATTATCTTTTTAAAGAAAATGTTTAAAAATGTAATTAGTTAATTCAGATTGTCTAGTTTATAGAAATGATAGCTTTAATATTTAGCTGTTCGACAATTTCTAATAACAAGTTTGTTTACAGAGCAAATTGAAGAAGTGGCAATTGAAGAGCCAGTCGTTGAAGAAATTGCCATTGAAGAGCCAGTCGTTGAAGAAATTGCCATCAAAGAGCCAGTCGTTGAAGAAGTTGCCATTGAAGAGCCAGTCGTTGAAGATGTGGCAATTGAAGAGCCAGTCGTTGAAGAAGTTGCCATCAAAGAGCCAGTCGTTGAAGAAGTGGTAATTGAAGAGCCAGTCGTTGAAGAAGTTGCCATCGAAGAGCCAGCTGTTAAGGAATTGGCTATCAAAGAGCCCGTCGTTGAAGAAGTTGCCATCAAAGAGCCAGTCGTTGAAGAAGTGGTAAATGAAGAGCCAGTCGTTGAAGAAGTGGTAATTGTAGAGCCAGTCGTTGAAGAAGTTGCCATCAAAGAGCCAGTCGTTGAAGAAGTTGCCATTGAAGAGCCAGCTGTTAAGGAAGTGGCCATTGAAGAGCCAGTTGTTGAAGAAATTGCGATCAAAAAGCCAGTCGTTGAAGAAATTGCCATCAAAGAGCCAGTCGTTGAAGAAGTGGCCATCAAAGAGCCAGTCGTTGAAGAAGTTGCCATCAAAGAGCCAGTCGTTGAAAAAATTGCCATTGAAGAGCCAGTCGTTGAAGAAGTTACCATCAAAGAGCAAGTCGTTGAAGAAGTTGCCATCGAAGAGCCAGTCGTTGAAGAAGTTGCCATCAAAGAGCCAGTCGTTGAAGAAGTTGTTATTTCAGAGCCTATTGTTGAAGAACTAGCTATTAAAGAGCCAATTGTTGAAGAAATTGCCATTGAAGAGCCAGTCGTTGAAGAAGTTGCCATCAAAGATCCAGTCGTTGAAGAAATTGCCATTAAAGAGCCAGTCGTTAAAGAAGTTGCCATCAAAGAGCCAGTCGTTGAAAAAATTGCCATTGAAGAGCCAGTCGTTGAAGAAGTTGCCATTGAAGAGCCAGTCGTTGAAGAAGTTGCCATCAAAGAGCCAGTCGTTGAAGAAGTTGCCATCAAAGAGCCAGTTGTTGAAGAAGTTGCCATCAAAGAGCCAGTCTTAGAAGCACCAGTTGTTGTAACACCCATCGTGGCAGCCTCTGTCGTTGAGCAAGTGAACGAGCCTTTAATCATTGAACAGGCAAATGTTGAAGAACCTGCTGTCGAAGAAGTAGAAACATCTACCAATAGCCTGGACATCCCTCAAGAAGATACTCCTCTTGCAAAAACTCCCGAAAAACTTGTATTAGAAAGAGTAATGAAAATCGCAGAAAAGTACAATCTCACAGAGTCCCCTCCTAAAACCAACCCTGTTGCTGATATTTCAACTGAATCAGAGGAATCAAATAATATGGAAACCTCTTCGCCCGTTGTGGAACCAATCGTTAACCTGACGGAATCTCCTAAAGAAGGTTCGTTAGAATGAGAAAGTGTGGATGTGTTGTGAACTTAGATTTGTTGCTGGTTTTTATAATATAATAATATACTGCAGAAAAAATATTGCCAAAAATTATTCGCTGAATTTTGTAGTGAGTTTTGAAATTCTCTGTTGTTATGCTGTGTGAATTGCATGGTTTTATAATCTTAACCGGCAGTAGAAGAGGAACCTGAATTGGAAAATAACGGAATAACGGGAAATAACGCTGATACAGCAGATGCTGAAGCTGTATTCGAAATGGAAGATATGGAAACTGAACCCGAAGCTGAGGTTTTGGAGCAAGCGCTGGAAACTGCACCTGAAGTACCAGTAGTACCTGTAGTGCAGGAAGAAGCCGCACTCGCCGATATTGGAGTTGAAAATGAGATTCTTGAAGCCGAGCCAGTTATAGTTGAACCTGAAACTGCCATTGTTGAAAAGGAACCAGAAGAGAAAACCGAAACCGTGACGGTTGAGACACCAACTGAAATTACGGCTGAAGTGGGAATCGTTGAAAACGAAATTGCAGCGGAACCAACTCCTGAACCAAAAGTTGCAATAATTGAAGCTATCGAAACTAAAACTACACTTCCTGTCTTGGACGTTCCAGACAAACCAGCGGCTGTTGGGGAAGAAAATACTGAACCGGCAATTATTGAACCAGAAATTATTGAAACAGAGCGGGAAGAAAATCCTTTTGAAGCTGAAATAGAATCGCTTGACGAAATGGAAATACCTGAACCCAGCACTTTCGGTGAGAGCGAGTCTTTTGAGCTCCTAGAGAACGAGAATGTAAATTCTTTAGAGGAGATAAAAATGTCGGATGAATGCTCACCGCGAGACCTTCCGACTGTGTTTGAGAATCAGGCGGCCTACCCTGGGAAGCTTGTCAAGGGTTCGGTGATGATACAACTTTGTTGATATAAAATAATTGTGCATGAGGTCGTGTGAGCATGTTGTGATATAATAATTACATAATTATACAATTATATGATAATTGTAGTGATTATTAGATGAACTTAAATCTCAGATCATAGTTCAGAATCGCTGATTGATAAACTGCTGTAAATTTTTAATTCCATTAATTTTAATTTGTTATTTTTGCTTTTATTCTTTTCAGTACATGGTATTTTAACTAGTTGTGAGTAGTCGAAATATTGACTTAATGAATTTTTCCATCCAATTATTATTGTTTTTAGGGAAATAAAACGGCTTAAATTGCCATAGTTATTGATTTAAAAAATTGATTTCACTGCCGTTATCAAAGTTTAGCCGTTCATTATTTTCTGTTATCAATTTTATAGTTCATCGATCGCTGATTAATTGATGGAACGTTATAAATTATAAAATTATCGTTCGGTTATTTTATTATAAAACTGTTTGGGAGTTTTTTTTTGTGTTTCATTTAAAAATAAATTTCAGAAAAGTGTATATTTAACAATCTTTTTCCTGTTAATTAGATAATAATCGCCAATAATAATTACAATTTTTAATACGCATAATTATCCATATAATTATTAATTAATTTACTTGTCAATATATATTTTCAGTGCCGATTAGTTATTGACAACTGGCCCATCATCATTATTAATGAACTCGAAAATAGCACCCCACCAAATAACTTACTGATACTTTGTATATCCGTTTTCATTTAAAAGAAATCATTCTTTAACAATAAAAGCTTACTTGTAATGGTAACTTAGTTAATTGCCACTACTTGACTACTATTGTAGATACTGAAACATTTAAGAATTGACCGTAGCCCCCAGGCTCCAGCGACCAGCATTGACTCTCGCTTTTAACAAAAACAGAAATATCGGTGTTTAATCCACCCTAGATTATCATTCGAAAACTACCTTACTCGGGAATATTATAGTCATAATATTCCCGAGTAAGGTAGGTAAACTTACGAGTTACGAGCTGAGAATGTATCATGACATTCGGCAATGGAGGTTCTAGAACCAAATTCTAGAACAATTTCTCCGCACGATTATTGATTTGGGCATGCTGTTGTTACTCCGCTGCTATGTTTAATCCTACCTCTGCTGTTAATATCACCCCTTACATTATCATACATTGACATGCATGGGACTGATATTGAAAATAACGCTGCATCCTATTTTAATTTGATTTGATTACGTATCATATATGTTGGACTTGAATGTGTTTTATTTACGCAATTCTGGGATATTCAGTGACCATTGCAATAGGGGTGTTGCTGTTACGATCTTAAGTCCTGTGACTGCTAAAAAAGCGTTGAAATGAGGACAGTTCAGAAAAATTAGACAGTGACACCCCTAATTTCTATTAAACCGGACTATTTGAAAAGTAACAACTTATTTTATTTTCAGAATCAGAGTCGTTACTGATTGAAGATAAGGAAAACAGTCCAATCAATATTGTTTCAGAGGTAAGCGCTTCCAAGCGGTTGATTGATCAGTAGATATTCACTTATTCGTTGTTATTTTATTGATAAATGTAGTGTCATAGTAGGTTCTTAAGTTCTTAATTTTTAACATTTTCACTCATTAATTTCAAACTATAAACAAATCTCATCACAACTCTTGCCATGTACAATAAATCCTGGTTCATTTTATTTAACTCGTATTATTCCCAGGTGTCAGATGTAAGCAAAGAATAGCTCCAACACTCAGACCAGAGGAAATCACTCGGCGGAGGAAAAACCCGGCGGGTTCATCAGAAAAACCCCATAAATCAGATGCACGCGGACTAGTTCTATTCAGTGTTGAAAATCCCACCGTTATATTACGGTCACGTGTGGACCACGTGTAAACCACGTGTGTAATTGTGTGTATGTGTCACGTGTGATACATTCAGTGGTATATATATCAGCTCTCTCAGAAGACTTGAAGACACAGAAATTTACATACAGATTTTAACTGCTCAGACAAAGAATGTGTCACGTGGTGCAATGTGCATGCTGTTTTGTATTACATTTAAAACTGTGAAAATTTACTTATTTTGATTAAGATTAATTAATTTTCACGTTTTATTACGTATTATACGCATATTAAAAGATACTTACAATTATTGTAGTATCTGTTAAACTTTACGGTCACGTGTGAACCACGTGTGAACCACGTGTGTAGCGAACTTTATGGTAATAAATACGAATTAGTCACTGGTGACTGGATGACAGACATATTGAGAAGTTGAAGGATACAACCTTGACATATGTTAAAAGTACCGTACTATCTTTAATTCCCAAACAACCCTTAAACTTTACACAAAACCTGTCAAAGTTAATTACCTTTGAATTAACCTGATTGGTGTGTCCGGAGTATCAGGTGACTGTTTTCCAGTGATCCTATTGGCTGTGATATCACAGGTTACTGTTTTCCTGTGATCCTATTGGCTGTGATATCACAGGTTACTGTTTCCAGTGATCCTATTGGCTGTGATATCACAGGTTACTGTTTCCAGTGATCCTATTGGCTGTGATATCACAGGTTACTGTTTTCCTGTGATCCTATTGGCTGATATATCAAAGTTGGCTTCACTGGTTGGTTCTAATTTGTTGGTCCAGTTGCTCGGTGAAAGGTTAAATTATTAGGTGGAATTTGTGGTGGCTCAGGTGATAATTTTCATGACCCTTCTTCTACATAATACAGGAGCATACCTTTTGTACTTTACTATGTACAGTAAAATGTTATACTTTTCCGATACAAGAAGAAAACCTGGACATGAAAATGGCGAAATGTGATGAAGCTAATGTAGCGCTCTAGAAAAAGTTAATGGCATTTTGTACCTACAATGTTCTGGAATTAGATGGTAATGATTGCGTAGTATTTCTAACTTGAATATCAAGTTTCTCATGCTGACGCACAGTTAATGTGCTACGCTGTGGTTTTTAGCAAATTTATTTTAATTTAGTCTATTCAATAACAAAGTTTGTGCTGGCCATATATGTCATAACTTTTTAAAGTTTTTAATTCGATTTAGATTAAATTTAGATTAAATTAATGGTTTGAAAATCTGTTGCGTGCTTTGTTTCAAAGATGGAGCGATTTGATGACAATGATTACAAATGTACACTTTTTTTCTAAAATGTTGGTTGGTATTTTGATTAAAAATATTACGTATGTGATGAAATATTCGTTTTATTTTCTTCTAATTTTTATTCAAATATGAAACAGTTAGCATATATTCAGTTTCAATGCTACGTTCTCAACTAATATAATCAGACTGATATTATAATTCTTGCAGAAAATTAGTTTTATTTGAAAGTTCTGCAGGAAACAATAAACATACAGCAGGCAGCTTGCATTCGGACCCTTTCACAGGGTAGGTTACCCTTGTATTGAACCCTTTGTAATTGAACCTCACGAAACAATGCGGAAATAGCATTTACAGTAGCGCGCGAAAAAAATATGATTAGTTCTACCAGCACGAAAATGCGTGTTCGCTCGATCACGTACGTACGTTACGTACGTTACAAACTTTCCAAGCACAATCTTATGAATAGAATTGACAACCAGAAACAAACTCGCAAGAAAAGCAATTTCAATTTGATACATATGTTATGTCCCATAACTTGCTTAATTCTGCACAAAGATGGCGGTCATCGACACATTTTGAACGGGGAATACAGAATCGTTTAAATGTTAAAATCACTTCGACAAAAGTTTTAGCGCGATGGACTACCGCCGTGCCGCGCATAAAATAATGCTTTTCGCAACTTAACGGGTGATACTCGTAAAATATTACGAGAGATCAGACCGTCGACGAGTCCAACTCGGCGCGCGTCCTGGTAGGTTGTAAACCTACAAGACTGGGCCACACGGAGCTGCAAAGTAGCTTTAAAGGATTGGCATCTGCATCCTCAATTATAATTTTTTTTTAAATAATGATTAACGACAAAAGCTACTCACTACTGATAGTAGAGGCTCTTACGGGCATTGTCTGCATGATACGCTAGGGACCCCTGATACACCTTACTAGACGTATTTTTGACCGTAGAATCGATTAAAAGTAGTTTCAAAATGATTGGACTGAGTTAGCGCGGTCAAAATCGCAAAAAACCGATTTTTGGGCCAAAAAACCATGTTTTTTGATATTTTGAGCAAGTTAATTTTGTTGGCATGTCATGAAGTCATGCGCCATTTTGCTTTTATTGCGGTATACTAAGACAGTAATCAGTATAATATAGCGTTTTATCATTAATGGGCAGCATGCATTCTTCCATATCTACATTTTGTTTATAAACAGAAAAGCCTAAGGTCTCCATGTAAACTTATTATGTATTTAAGTAAAAACAACTGGACAGGTTTAATTTTATTTATTGCAGCGCGCACTTTTTTCGCGCAAAATTCACAATTTTTAGTTCATAGTTTTGGCCCGTAAATTTTATAAAACTGAAAACAGTTTCAGTTATTTTAAAACTATTTTTGTTTTTATAATAAGGCCATTATCAACATCGTCGCGTTATCAACTTTAAAATTATGAAAAAGTTCTCGCGGCGATGATTATCTGTGTGGACGTGTGGTATAATATAATCACAAATCCTATCTTTTAAAACGAGTTTTGATCATGGGTGGGACAAAATTATTAATATTTATATTCAATATTAAATGTTGTCAGATTTTTAAAATTTTGAAATGATAATTGTATTATAGTGCGATTTAACGGGTGATACTCGTAAAATATTTGTTCCAGGACCGTCGACGAGTCCAACTCGGCGCGCGTCTTGGTAGCAGGTAGGCGCTGCTACTAAATCCAAAATCGCTCGCCCAAATTTTAAGAAAATTCTTGTGAAAAGGCCCTTTGGGCATGAAAGTGATCGGAATCGTTGTATTTTTGGACGCTGATTCCAAATCACCCCCCATGACGTAGGGTTAAAATGCTTCCCTGGAGAGTTATGGGCAAAAAACCGTTTTGGTCAGGTGACAGGCTAGTAAAATACGAATTCGATTGTTTAGGGCTCGTGTTAGGGTTAGGGTTGCGGTAAGGGTTATGGTTAGCTTTCTTCAAAGTGCGATGCACCACTGGGCAACGCTGCATGCACGCCTTAACACTTCACCTAACTATGTGCTTTCGCGTTGTATCACGTGGTGACCCCCACTGTCGCTTCACCCTGTAGAGTTTCAACGATACAGTGGGGCGGGTCATACAACGTAGGACAACTTTCGCGCCGCTGCGGGCGCGCTTGTTTCACAACAACGGGCGCGCGCCACTACAAGCGCAAGGGCTCTGGATAGAGCAACCTTAACACTGAACGGGTGATACTCAAAAAACATTTGTTTCAAGACCGTTGACGAGTCCACCTCGGCGCGCGTCTTGATAGCTTATAAACATACACTTTACAAGTAATAAGGCCACGCCGAGCTGTGAAGGATTGATATTGTGCAGAACTGCGTACCGCTCAGTACTAATTCATGCTTGAGCGGTACTGCTGTTCACAGTGGCGCGCACTCAATTTAATCACAATAAATAACGAGCGCGCGGTTTTTTGGAATCTCTCAATTATTATATTAATTAGATCGCAGTGCTCACGGCCTGTACTGAGTAAACGACAGAAATATCTTTTAAATTATTTTGCTTCTGAAATTTTGGCTCTAGTAATTAAGAAATGTGACATGTAATTGTAAGTTAACAATTAAATAGATCCTGTGCGCGGCGCCTACAGCTGACCTACGAATTTCTGAACAATTTTAAATTGTGGCTGTGTGCGCGGCGTACTGTATATGTGTTTGAAATTGAAATTTGAATTTATTTATGAATATAACATTATGTATTGATTATTTGTGGTAAATAAAAATTTTTCTTTCCTAAAAAAAAAAATTTTCTTTCCTGTGAATTAAATATTTTATAGTGCGGTATTTACAAATTTATGCATTTTCAGCCAGAAATTGGCTATTTTTATTCCATTTTACACAATTGCACCGTGCAAGATAAAATGCCCACTTAATTAGCAGCTAAAGTGTAAATATTTTTTGTTAAATATGTACTATTTACACTTTTCGTTCCAATTTTTAAAAATCGGAGACAATTTTTTACCAAACCATGGTTGATGGTGGGTTTATTGCATTTATTATGTAATATGTATGCTTGATGTGCTATAAATTGAAAATCGTTGTATAATAAATAGTATATGTTGTTATAGTATGCGACAATAATTTTGTTTGCAGCTTGAAAAAACTAAACCCATTTTAGCGCCGCGCACACCTACTAATAAATAATATATTATTTACGGAAATCGAGCGCCATAAATATCTTGTCTTAGATGATTTCGCTGCACAATCAGTCAATGATTAGATGAACTATCTGTGTGTGACCTCCACTGTATTGGCATTCTAATCTTCTTCAATAGTCTACGCTCACAGTCATTGTCATTCTAACGTTAGAAAATGTCTGATCCTATGTCGACAAAAATAAATCAAAACAGTCATATGATCCGTGCTGAACATTCTACTGATTAATTGTTTTCTTGTTTTCTTGTTTTCTTGTTTTCTTGTTTTCTTAATTGTATGACCCTAGTGATGACATGTTCAAGGTAGTAATTGTTTCGCACAATGGGCTAACACCCACCCAGCTAGTGACCTTCTTGCTAATGAATATTTTCCTTCCTAAGATTCCTGTTGCACTGACCAATTTAGGTTAAATAATGATTGTAAAATTTCCTTTGTCTGATGTCAACGACGTAGCTTGTACAGGATAGTACTTTATTTACTGTTCACCACAGTGTAGATGTTCTGAAGGGATATCTTAGAAACATTATTAGGGTATCCTTTCAGTATATTACGTTGCAGTGTACTGTATACTGTTGGGTTCATCCCTTTCAACCTTATTCTATCATGTGTAAAGTAAAGTAAAGTAAAGTAAAAATTATGACATAACATCATCACACATGTCTACAAAGTATCAAATCACTATATGGAAAAATATAAATATCAACACCAAAATTAATATCTTACGATTGTTAATTGGAAATAGACATTGAAGATAAATGATTGCCAACAATACATTCTTACAACGGTAAGACGCTTACAAATCATCTTCAATGTACTGTTTAATCTTGAAGGGGTTCCGACTTTCAAGATGTTCACAATTTCTATAAGCACTTTTTAAACCAAATTTTAACTTTTAATTTACACAATTTATTACATTGTTAATATATTGTCTAACCTTATAGCTGAATTATATATATTGTTTGACCTTTTCTAGAACTCTAAACTCTGATATATTGTACTATGCTGGGTGGCCTGGCCTAGTAGTTCGAGCATCCGCCTTCTGCGCAGAAGGTTCAGGGTTCGAATCCCAGTATCACCTAGTCTAGGGATCTATGCGATCTCCTCGGTCGACTCATCCATTTGATAAGAAACTCAATTGAGGGTTTAATGAGGAGGGGTTCCTGTTAAAAGTTCAAAAAACTTCCTAGGATACTGTAAACATAGTACTATTAACTATTAACTATTAACTATTAACTATTAACTATTAACGATTAACTATGCTTGATTTATCAAGTGCATTGCCACTGCTTTGTGCACCAGTACAGCGACATGGTAGAACCACATGTACAAGGAGAACTATGATTTAGGAAACAGACGGACCCATGAATCTAACATGTCCATTTCCATATCTTTAACATATAACAGGTTATTGCGTAAAGGAGTCAGTTAGTTTCATAGTGCAAGAACGAAACGGCTTTGCAATGCCATGATTTCCACTTAAACCCAGGAAAACAGGTCCTAAACTTAATATTGCCAGAAACTTGAGTAGGCCACTAATAATAATCAAATTTAATGTTTTTGAAAGCCTGGTCCACGTCCCTGAGCTATGCCAAAATTTCCGACTGTCTTACTATTTATGAATCTTTCACACTTTGCATTCACAAACTTTGAGTCTGTCAAATCTATGTTTACGTTTGCGAGATTATTGTATCACTTATCCTTCAAACATTTTTTTGAAGAGAAAAGAATATTCAAACAATATACACATAATATAGCAATGGCCAATTGGCTGACTATAAGGTCATGGCCTGAACAAACAATTTTTTTAAATAGTCAAGTGATGCTAAAGCAGAGCACAAATGTGTAATAAGTTAATAGATTAAAAAACTGATTCATGTGATGCATTACGCAGAGCACAGATAAAAATACTGATTCAATGATTAAAATTATAGCTGTGAGTGTCAATAAATTAATGTGTCATAAAAAAAGGAACAATGTACACGTGATCTGAGATACCAATATCTCAATATCAAAAGGATAGTGTCTAGAAACATTCATAGTCCATGGTGGCAGGTATCAAGTTAAAAGAAGTTACACTGACTGGCAATGTATACGATTGCCGTCTCCCTCTCTCACCCCTGACCGCTATCAGGGTGCTCCTGAGGATTGAGAATCTAATCCTGGTGCGCATGTAACACATAATAGCCGCATAGTCTTCTCCTCTCTTCTGGGATAGTTTTTCAGCGAGTCTCTTGTGGTATCTTGTGGCTTGTGGACCCCATCCGCCATTTGTTGAGTATATATATTATCCTTCAAACATGATGCTGATACATTAATATTGATATTCACAATTCTAAATCACCTGGTCTAAATCAAAAGTTGAAAATTAACATATTTTAGCAGGTGTCACAAAATGCTTTACCAAAGGAAGATCGAAATCGGCCGTGTGTGCTACGTTAGATTGGGAGAAAATGCAGGAAAGACTGGAGTGGTCGTAGACCTTGTTGACCAGAAGCACTTGCTCATCGATGGACCAGACAGCGGACTTGCTCGATCAGTCTTCCGTCTGAACCAAATAGCAATCACAGACCTCAAGGTCAAAATACCACGTGGTTGCAAAACCAAGGTTGTACGAGCAGCCCTTGCTAAGGATGACATCCCCGCTAAATTCCTTAAATCTGGACTTAGTAAGAAGTCAGAAGCTCAACAAGCTAAAGCAGCTCTTGGAGATTTCGCTCGATTCAAGTTGAGAGTATCCAAGACCGCTCACAATAGAAAGATCAGAAGCACCGTGCGAAAACTTAAGAAATCCAGTTAATTTATTGTAATGACTGTTTTTATTTATTAATTTCCGTGTTTTAATTTGCTTTTATTCATGAGTAATCATCTGATCTTACCGAATATTGATTGATTTATTTGGCAACAATCAACACTCAAAAGTTTGTGACACACCAAGCCCTGGCCTTCGTTATAAAATTCTGAGAATAATTAATTCTTGCTAGTTGACATTAAATAAATAATAAATAAAGTCGGCACTATATTGATTCATATTAACATAATCAATGACAAACTAACAAATTTAATGTTAAATTTAATGCCGTTCCTCGTTTAAGACACGATATTAACATAGTTATAAAATTCCATTTCTAACCATTTCTCTTATAGCACATGAAGTAAGGTATAAAAATGGTCTAAACTAAAAGAAAAGCCTCTCCACAAACTCTCCCTTTACCTCACCTTGACATCAGAATAACATGGTTTGTGACAAATGTAAGTTTATTTTGTTATAAAGTCTTATAAAGTATTAATGGGTGTGAATGGTGTAGGCTAAGTCTGTGTTGCATCAGTATTACTTTAGATTTCGGTACGTCAAATTGATGCGAAGGTCGGTTGAATCTTTAAGCTGGTAATTTTAAGATGTTAGTCTACAATATGTGGCTAAGTAATTAACTTTAAAGTTTTAATATGATTATGATCTAAATTTTGGGTATAAATTGGTCAGTGAACATATTTTACTACAGCTTTTAATTTAAATTATTATTTACAACCGAAAAGAGCATATAATATATTCGAACGTGTAGAATATATCGATTTGATCTTTTTGAGCTTAAAAACAACAGAACCTGCGCAGTGTGCAACTATTCATAAAACTTAAATTAACTTGCATAATTTAATGATCAAGGACTTCTCTTTCTATTGTAATTTTCTCCAGCTTGATCTTCTCATCAAGATCGATTACCAAGTCTCTTCAACAACCATTTAACAGCTAATCGTTACAGGCGAGAAGAAGTTGGGCGTATCCGTTACACAGGACACATGGAAAAGTGGATCCAGGAGCACTGTGGGTGAGCTTGATTATAGAACTGTTATTTAAGTTGTGATTATAGTTGTGATTTAAGTTAAAATGATTGTAGTTGTTCGATTTATAAGTATCAGTCATTTATCAGTCATATATATAATAATAATAATTATAGTTGTACAAAAATAGCTGTATATCATATCGATAGTTGACATATTATACTGTTGAATGCGTGCCCTAAAATAATGATTACAACTGGAAAACAAACCTATTCTAAAGATCCGGGTACTAACTAAACTCATTATATCAGGATGTATTCAGAACACCATGGCTGCGATCTGTCCTAAGTACCTCGAACACGGTTTCTGTATCCACGGTTCCTCCTGCACCCTCCAGCACATAGACAAGCCACCCACACCCACCGCGCTTCAGATGAACGGAAACATGTTGAAAACATCCTTCGGTAACCTAACTCTAGATGACATATCCTCGACTCCCAGTTTCATACCTGCCTCACATCACGTGATACGGAGTGAGCCAGTCCAGGCTCCTCTCCAAGCTCCTCTCATGCCTCCTCCAACTCACATGGAGTATTACCTTCCCTCCACGCGCATGGACATGCCCACGCGCGCCTTTATACCCACCCCGCCTCATTTAGAGAAACCAAGCGCAGATAACAGCACAGGCAGTGAACTATGTGATATGTTAATGTACCAACAAAGTATTACGTCTCTCTATATTGAGAGTAAGTTGCCAGATGTGGAGAAGTATTACGCGCTCCACCCGTTGGAGCCCGAGCACCCGACAGTGGAACCTCAGGGTAACATGTATACGTTTTCCTATCCTAGTGTTTGTTACCGGGCTTACAGCAGCGTAGATGGGTGTGTTTATACGTTACATCGCTACAAAAACTGTCAAATTAACACTTTAGAAACGAAGAAGATCCTAGATCGGTGGCGCGCAATCAGCCACCCTAACATCGTCACTGTACATGAGGCTTTCCCAACCAAACAGTTCGGCGACAATTCATTTGTTGTTGTGTATGATTTTTGTGCTGGCGCCAGAAACTTCAAACAGCTACATTTTCAGAAGGAACAAGGTTTTCTTGATGAGTCTCTGTTATGGAATTATATCATACAGTTAACATCTGCTATACGGACAGTGCACGCTAATAAACTTTCTTGCAGGATGATTAATCCATCTAAAATTATAGTAACAGCTAGAAATAGGCTGAGGTTAAATTGTCTGGGTGTCATGGATTTGTTGATGGGCTCCGTCCTAGATGACCCATCCAAACCATTTGTAGTCCAACACCAACAACAAGAAGATATAGTGGAGCTGGGCAAGCTTATCGTTTGTATTTCCTGTAATTCCATCTCGGCTATCCACCAATCAAACCTCTCCAAATCCTCAGACGTCATATCATCCACATACACGGCAGATGTCCGAACATTACTCCAACATTTGCTCAACAAGTCGCCTCAACCAAGGAAAATCAATGATTTGATGCCGATGATTGGCGCTCGGTTTTACACACACATCGAGCGATTACGGGTTGAAAACGATACCACCCAAAACGAGTTAATGAAGGAGCTAGAAAACGGGAGACTATTTCGGGTATTGTGTAAGATAAACTCAGTTCTAGACCGGCCCGAACACATGTTGGATCCCGGATGGTGTGAAACTGGCGAGCGTTACATTCTCAAACTCTTCCGAAACTACATGTTTCACAAGGTGGATGAGTTGGGCGCGCCCTGGATTGATCTCCCGCATCTTCTAATGTGTTTGAATAAACTTGATGCAGGCTCGCTTGAACAACTTATGCTCACCTCGCCTCACGAGCAGAGTGTTATTATTTGTACTTACAAGGACATCAAAAATAACTTCGATAAGTGTTTTAATGAGATTTTCCTGATGCAGGGTAATTTGTAAGGTAGGGTGAGATGTGACGTCATGCCACGTGGTGTGACGTCATGCCACGTGGTGTGACGTCATGCCACGTGGTGTGACGTCATGCCACGTGGTGTGGTGTTCCGGCGTCACAAGGACACAGCACAGCCAGAAAATTTGGTTTTTAGCCGGTAAAACTGGTGTTGTTCTCTCGCCCGATTGGTTATATATATTTGAGAATTGAGATTGCCAAGTTTAACGCGTGAGCAAATTCTGCAAGATTTATTGATATTGTGCCATGAGCATGTTATGATCTGTAATACTTCATTGATAATTGAAAGTTAAGACCGGGTTGGTGAACATTGAAAATTTGTTTGAATTCTTTTTAATCAGAGGTGATCGAAAATTTGTAAGAGCATGTCCTATTTTTAGATTTTTAGTAATTTTATAGTAGCTGCCTCGGGTATTTAAAGTTGTATAGGACAGTGTTTCTGACTTAGGGGTCGTTCACATATTACGTTATCAGCCGAGGGGGAGGGGGGGTTTCTAAATAATTATGCTAGTGTAATTTTTACACAATAGCTATGTGTAAAATTGATTGCGGAGGGGGGAGGGGAGTTCAAAATGGGCCAAAAAGTGATTACGTAATATGTGAACGACCTCTTGGGTATTTAACGTTGTATAGGACAATGTTTCTGACTTATCTTCGACAACAACATGCTACAATAATTTGTATGGGAATGTTTCATTTTCACCTTAACATTTTTTTGAAAAAATCTTTATTACCGGTACATAAAAACTGGTACATACATAACTAAAAGCGATGGAGAATGTAAAATTACACATAAAAATCCGAGTATATCCCGATTATATATATAGTATGATTTACGAAATTGTAGAGCAACAATATCCCACCAATCAAACATTATTGATATAATAATGAATTTGCTATTCATTGTTAATTTGGATTTTGATATCTTAATAATATGTTAATAAGGGTACCAAATTCCAACCGCAGTTTTCTTCTCCTTTGAATTATTTTGTTGATATATATAATGCTCGAATTTATATAATATAAATTTTCATAACTTTTATCTTCAACAAGTTGATTGATCAGTTACTTTTACTTTTTGACTTGTAGTATTTGTTACGATGTTTTAAACGCGATATCATTACGCAGAACCCTGTAACTGCAATATAATTGTATTCCTTAATTTTTTTTTCTAGCGCGGTATGAATTTTAATTAGGGTTTGATTTTTGGACCGTTTGTAATGGTTCTTGTCAATGCTTATTTTGATATCAATGCTGTAAGGGATAGTGTAATCACTTCAAGGACGTTAAATTTTTGTGATGCAACTTTGAATTCTTATCGAAACTTCTTGAATATTCTACATTTTTCTTGCCCTACATATTTCCCCCTAAGATAAGTTACAACCTTGAAAATTGAAACCTTCAGCTTGAAAGATGCAAACGATAATTTCCTAAAGAAAGAGGCAGCATTTAGGAAATAACGCTCACCTAATTACCTAATTTAAGAAATAATGCTCACCTAATTAATTACCCAATTACGCTCACCTAATAATGGATCTAAATTGTATTATGTGTTTAATGATGATGTGTATACTGTATAGCTTGAAAGTCGAATAATTTCATATTTTGTTTTTGAGTTAAGAAGTACTTTAAATCATGTTTAAAACTTCATGTTATAGAAAAGTGGGCCCTTGAAATTAGAGAGCGTTCACAAATTATTTATCTCTCGAACAAGGGGATTCCAAAATGTAACGGAATGTTCGGGAAGTCTAGAGAGGGTGTGGTCCTACAACCTTACTTAGGCCGGACGTTACAAATACCTTGCTTCTGCGAGTGCAGTTTTACAATATCAGCAATATTGCAAGTCATCATTTAGTATGTATGGCATTGAGCCAGGATTTTAGGGCAGTTAAATCTAATTCGTTATTTATTTGGTAGTTACGGTTAAATGCTTAACTCCATCGAGTATGATTGAACACTGGCGCGCACAAAATGACTTTCTAAAACAGGACCTAAAGGGAGGGTCAATTTTATGCAATATCTGATAGAACTGACAGTAATGACACAATTACAGTCGTTAATGTGATCTTTTGCACAAAGGTTATGAAATCTATAGTGTGGATCGTATCGCAATTTACAAAGGGTGGGGTTAACCAAACTATCGAGGTGGCATTTGTGAACGCTCCCTCAAGAGTAAATCCCAACTTTCTCCACGGCCCCCTACAAAACCTTTATCCTTCCACAAATACCTGCCACGTCACAAATTTTGATTTAAAGTACTCTTTAAGATAATTTTCCGTAGTTATTGAGCTACAAACTGACTGCAAATAAGTTTGGTACCTTTTTATTGAATTTTGTGAGTGAACGAAAGAAAGAAAGAGAGAGAGAGAGAGAGGCAATGAAGTATGTGATTATCAGTTTTTGGTCACCAATTGGCGATGAATTTAGTTTGATGGGTTCCAATTTAAAGAGGTGTTTAACCATCTTAATAATATTTCAAAACTTAACCTGTTGCTTCACTCTTGTCTTAACTTGAATTCTTCATTAAACCCCTGTGGGACAATTCCCGAGAACATCTTTCTGTACTAGCAGAAATTTAGCCGCGCAACAATGAAAATTGTATATTGGATCACATTTTTGAGGGACGCAGTGAGCCGCGCACGTACGAATTCTAACCCTTACATACAGCTTCAGATTCGGGGAAACAAAAACTGACGGAGAACAAATATTTGACACGAGCGAAAGGGAACAGATTCGACCCGACGAAAGCTAACTTTAAACAGTGCAGGATATGCAGAGTTGCTACACATCATCCCAAAGCTAATTACTGCCAGGGTAAGTCTTAACATCTGCTTGTGCCTTGTTTAAAACGTCTGAATTTACGCGGGAACAAAGGATATTTGAACCAGCACAAATCTTTGCAAACCTTCTATGATCCATCAAACTGCCACCGTAGATCTCACTTCATTTCTGATAAGAAATATAGGTGTGATGTGGACATTGGTTGATGTCTCTTTGTATCGCATCGTACCGAGGTGCATTATTTGGGAGGGGGTTGGTCCTTACGACTTAAAATCCTAGTTATCAGATAGAATGCTGTAACCCAATGCATACAACTGTAGGGTTTATGTTACCACTTTGTATGTATCATTAATTTTACGATTTTGTGGGCCTTGTCATGCATGTGGTTCCCACGGCCGGCAACAACTTTTGAAATACTGATGGAATGCCTACATTTTTTAAACACCATTGGACCGGAAATTGTGCAATCAGAGCACAACTTGAGTTGCACCTGAATCGAAAAGCCGTCTATATTATAGATGGTGTATCACGGCCTTGCGATTAAATTCCTTGCATGCGTGAGACCTAATTTTAACGTAGATAACTAAGTTTGATATCTACCGATCGTACATCCGATTTAACTGTTATATCTGTTAAATATTACACTTAGTTGTCCCGTTAAAATGGGTTCTAATTTTCTGCGTAATATTAGGTCATTAAACTTTCGTAAATTCCATTAATTCCTTACGGATTATCTAGGGGTTTAAAGTTATAACTTATCGTTCTGTCGCCATCACATGATCAAAATTCTGTTATTATCAATTATAGTGTATAGGGGGGGGGGGGGGGGGGGGGGGGGTGGGTCCAAGGGGAACTTTGGGAAAGTCCCCCAAGATTTCTGAAGTTCCCCAAAAAAAAATTCCCCAAAATTATTCAAAATTTCTCTAATATACATTAATACCCATTAATGTTAACATGTATGTTATTATAAGGTATAATCTTAACTTACTTGTTGATACTTGCAGCATGATAATTTTTTTGGCATGATAATTTTTTGGGGAACTTTGGGAAAGTCCCCCAGGTTTCCTGAAGTTCCCCAAAAAAAGTTCCCCAAAATTCCCCAAAGTTCCCCTTGGACCCCCCACCCCTGTATATACTTCAGTGCTGTTTTAAAATTTTAAAACGAGAACATCTCTTTTTATTGATTATTTATAACTAATATCCACAGCGTGTGCGTACAAGAAGAGTATTTGTTGTATGTGCGGTAAAACTCTGATGTCCACAAAGAACTACAAGATGTCGAGTACTTGAGGTATCCTAGCTGTTACTGATCTACAACCAGACTCTCCGAATATCGAGGTTTATAATTATTATAAGTAACTTATCTTAAGATAGTTAATTATTTACCGATGGATTGCTGTATACAATTTGACTTTATTTATTATTCATTTATTTAATTAAGTCCTTATTATTAGCTAGTTATTAGTTAGCAGAGTATTATGTTAACATTTTATATTTTGTTAAAACTTATTTGAGTGCATTGCAAATTGTTAGTTGACCTCATTGTGTTTTTAATGCTGATTCTAACTCTAACTCATTATCAGGAACAAGGTGTGACGTCATGGTACGTAATCTCCGATCGAAATGAATGAAGTCCACGGATCGCTAAAACAACCTTGTTTAATGTTAGGCAGTGTAACTGTTTATTGTAACTGACCAACTATATTGTGATGTACAGGATTTGTAAAGTTTTATACAGCTTTTAGTCTAGAAAAGAGTAAGGACTGTATCAGGATGAATTTTGTTTTAAATATCCCTTATTTGAACCTGTTGTATCAGAAATTTTGTGAGCAATATCATTCGCATTTACGATCTTGAAGATAAGAATAACTTATTGTAAATATTTTATTTGACTTTCACTGTTACAATTGCAGTATTACCAGGAAGATTTATAAGAATTTTGTTCTTTCCAAAATTTGCTGTAATAATATTTATGTTCCCTCCCTTGGTTGGACGAGTGGTATGTTTACAGGCCGGGAAATATTTAATGAATTTCCTTTGCCTAAACTCTGCGGACCGCTTCAGAAATTTCACTAAGATCCGCACTTTCAGATTAGAATTGAAGAACAGCAAACAGTACACCTATAGTTCCCCAGTCACCACTGTGGTTTACAAGGTTTACAAGGTTTACAAAAAATAGATCTATATTACAGTGAGATAATGTCAGATCAGCATAGCTAAAGGTCAAAGTCCGAAATCCAAATAGAAAATCCGTTACCATTAAGGTGTTTGATGAGTGTAAAGAAAAAGTGAAAATGAAGGGGCTGTGGAGGAAATGTGATATCCCGTACTGAGACACTAATGTTCGTGTTTCTTCTTTATAGGGAATCGTGTTCTGCATTGCTGAGCGACGAACTTGGTGAATTCCACTATGTGCTCGGACAGTAGAAAGAGGCTCTTCATGTCATGAAATAGTAATGACTTAGTGGGCTCCTTCATGTTAGTCCTACTGGAATGGTACCTGGGACATGTTCTAAGGAAGTGTTCTTCATCTTCTATTATCGGATCAACACAAGGAAGATTAACAAAGAGCTCCATCATGGACTTTTCGCTGCAGAATTCACAAATTCTGTGATGTTGACTTCCAGTTAGGTCACAGCTGCCCAGAAGGTCAAGGAATCTATTACCTCTTTCATTTAGTACAGAATCTTTACTGGCTCAGCAAAGTTAGTGTAAAGTTAAAAATAAAATTTTATATCTTCAGAAAATTGATGACACTCACTTTATCAAAAATTGAACAAATAACCTTGTCATAGAACCCCATGTAATATTTAAGTGCTAATAGTTGGCACAGAATTTTTCTCCGATTTTGATAAAATTTGTACCAAAAGTTGCCTAAAAATATGAATAAGGGGTCGTTCACATATTACGTAATCAGCCGAGGAGGGGGTGGGGGGGGGGGGGGGGGGGCGTTTCCAAATACTTACGGTTGATTACGGGGAGGGGGGGGGGGTTGGTCGTTGATTACGTCATCAAAATTTTCTTTTTTACCCTCTAGAATAAGAACAATTTGACAATATTTTAATTCAAATTCCACTCAATTTCACTCTGATAGTGAAATTGATCGAATATCCGGCTATAATAGTAAGTAGTTTAGAAGGCGCTTGGCCGGATATCAAGGGGGGGGGGGGGTCAGGTCATGATTACGTAATATTGCTGTCAGGAGGGGGGGTTGGGTCTTGATTACGGAGGGGGAGAGGGGGGGGGGGGGTAAAAATTGCTAAAATATTGATTACGTTATATGTGAACGACCCCTAACACAATTCAACCAAATTTATCGAAATCGAAGACAATTTCTATGCCAGCTCATTGCACTTCTTACACTTTTACTTTTAAATCCAAGTGTTGAAACTTAATGAACATCGCTATAAGTATAAATGTTAAGCAGCGCACGTCCATGCATCTACGCAGTACTCATCTATTCATGATGAATAGATGAATAGTATTCATCTTAACAATAATTTAAACTTTTGACACTTGACAGTCGTTCACATATTATTATTTAACGTTATCAGCCAAGAGGGGAGGGTGGTTCAAAATTGGCCGAGAAGTGATTACGTAATCAGTAATATGTGAACAACGTTTCTGATGATATGAACTTAATAGTTAATAGCCTCTTCTACGGAAATATCGTAATCTCTCCCACTAACCTGGGATACCAAAACCAAATCGTATTAAAAAACAAAAAGATACCCACGAAACACAAAAATCAGTTTAGAATCTTAACACTGAATAGTGTACCCAAAACATCAACAATCAACTTAAAACAAATAATCATGTAAATCACTGTTAAGTGTCAACTCTACTAGTTGAAGCTTTTCCTGTCTTTTACGTTGTGTATTACGCGCAGATGTTGGAGCAAATTGTCGTTTTGACTAAACCCTTTGTAGCAAACATGACATCTGAAATTTAGTGGGATGTAGTAACTATTCAATTCAATTCGATCATGTAGGGCTTTGAATTGATTCGCTTCAGGGTTACTCTGACTCATACTGTTTGAAGTAGAGGTTAAAATTAAGCAACTGAATAAAAAAGCTTCGTTCGGTTTGCGGCTGCAAAATAGTAAAACCTAGGCAAACTCGTCGAATACATTCAATAGTGCAATGACAAAGGCGCGCCTGGCATCCGTTATCATGTACCAGTTACGCAGCCTGCTGGTCTCTAGCATGCTAAATCACTACAGTCGATTTTCGAGATTTAAAAAAAAGCCCCCCCCCCCCCGACAGTTTAATAATTGAGACCAACTTTAATCGATGTATTTTCGGACGCTGGAAAATTTCCCGTCTGGATCTGAGGAATTTCAGAAGTCTGGATTGCTTTTTATCTGCCGGGCCGCGCACTTCACACTTTTATGTTATATGCGGCAAAAATGAAAAGCCACGAAGTTGATTGACGATGTGTGGCTTTACCTGGGGCTGGAGACCCCTTACCTGAGGACCCCAGGCTATTATGTTCATTAATATCCGCCGAATAAAGATTTGGCGGAATGACAGGCTGAGCGCGGCCCAGTAAGAGACCCCAGGCTGTGGGCTGAGGCTATTATGTTCATGAGGATCCGGCAGAATGACAGTTGAAAGGCTGAGCGCCGCCCAGTAAGTAGTAAAGGCGTGGCCTAGTGCCACAATGGTACATCGGACATCGATGCGAGTTGGCTTCAACTGTCGGGGGCCCCTTTTAGAAAAAAAATCTTGAAGATCGACTGTATAGTTTTTTGTCCATTGTTAATTGTTAATGGACTAGCCCGACGCGCGCTACTTTGTAGCACTTGCCTCGGGCAACACTTCGAGAAGAAATAGCGGCGCGCGCTACTTCGAAGAAATTTATACGAGTAACATCTGTTAAAGGATTTTCCAACGCGGTCGGGATTTTTAATCGGAAATTCTCAAATTAGCGTCCAAAAATACAACGAATTATGATGTATAAATGAGGAATAGATTATAAAAGTACATTTCGGAAGATTTAAAAAAAATTATCTTTTGTGCCGTCCCTTTGACCGTAGTAGAGGCTCTTACGGGCAAAAAGACGTGTTTTCTGCTACGAGTTTGGAGACCTAACCGCTAATTGGACACAATAGTATGATGTCTAAGGATCGATAATATGTTAAGAATAATAAATTTGGCCTTATTAGTCACCTGCTATACCAATGCGCGTTTAAACTTTGACAGTCTATTACTCTAAGGCAAATAGAGTAATTATATTCATATTTTGTCAGCAATAAGATCACATTATTTTCTATTTAGTGTGAAAATATGAGCTAGAACGGACATAATCTCGCTGAGTTATACTTATAGCTGTTTGAAATTTATGATGAACGCGCGGCTGCCAATTGATAACAACTAAATGCTTTTGCGCGTAGTGCGCGTCGAAAATTCGGCAAAAACGCTTGCGGAGTGACAATATTCAAACTTCGATAAAGTATATGAAGTGGGTACTTCTCGGAAAGGAAAAATTTAGGCAAACACGATGTGACTATTTTTGGGTTGATTTAATGCAACTGCAAAAAATTATTCAAACTTCAAGCAAAAAAAGTCAAATTTTTACCACTTTTTTGGATTTTTACCCCCAAAAAAATAGAGGGATTTTTCAAATTTTTATATCATCTTGTGCGGCTGTGTTTTAGCTATCTCCATGCAAGTTTTGCCGACATGCCAACAAAATTAACTTGTTCAAAATATCAAAAAACATGGTTTTTTGGCCTATTTTTTAACCAAAAATCGGTTTTTTTGCAATTTTACCCCCAAAAAGTCAGTCCAATCATCTTAAAACCACTTTTAATCGATTCTACGGTCAAAAATACGTCTAGTAAGGTGTATCTGGGGTCCCTAGCGTATCGAGCAGACAATGCCCGTAAGAGCCTCTACTACCGAGATTTCGCGGTTTTTACTGAAATTATGAAATTAATGATCAGTATGAGTAACGTCGGTAAGAGGGAAAAAAGTCGCCATCAAGGTACTGCAAGCAGCATGTCCAATTTCTGGAGAAAACTTTGATGCAATTGCACCGCTGCGCGCAGTGTTGTGACCGCTCTTCGTCGTATTTTACACATATTTGGACGTTGGCAATTTATTCCATCGATAATTTTAAAGTTTTAACATTTTTATATTAAATTCTTTTTTAATTTAGTTCTAAAACGATTAAGCTTGCTTTCTGTAAAAATTTAATGTACTTTCGTAAAATAATTTTGATGTGGCAGCGATTTGAAAAGGAAATTAGTTAAAAATAATACAAAAAAATCGGACATTTTTTGATATTAAAACATGAATAACTTGGGCTGTGTTGACAGTAGAAAAATTTATTAACCTCTATCCGACAGCTTTAAAATTTTTCTACGCGCCGCGCAAATCCACGCGCGCATTTTAGCGTGTCAAAATCGTTTAAAACTAGAATTAGTTGATGAAGGAGCATAATGCAGATCATACGTTGTACGTGTGGCTTGAACATTATGATTTCGCGCCATTTCTTGTTTCTGCACTCGCTTTGAACTTTCATGGCTTTAACAGCAGTTATCGACTGACGACTTTGCTGTATTACATAGTGTACTTGGTACATAATTGATCAACGATAATAGGAGGAACCCCTGCAAGCTTTAAAGGGCTCGTGTTACTTTAAAATCACTTTTGAATTTCACGAAAGCAGATAAAAGGTAGGTTTTCGTTGAATCAAAGTAAGCTAATATCAATTAGAACGAGTATAATTGTGTTACTTTAATACATCGCTTGGTACTGTATTTTATAGTTAACTAACGACATTCTCGCTTTAGGTTATTTTATATAAAACACTTTTATCATTGTTGATTGTGACTTGTCCAATCATTGCACTAGTTTATTACAAAGATTATCAAAATCTTGCGGTAAAATTATTATACAAGCACCCATAAATGACAAAAGTCATTTAATTTCAACATTCCTCATTGCTTTTGTGATTTCCTGCAGCTCTTACTACTGGGCAGCTC